ATCTTTAGACCATGCTGACAAAAAGATATGGAATTCAAGTTGAGTCAAACCGTTCTCGAATAACACGTGAACAAATTCAACGACGAACACGCCAAAATGGACATGAGGCTATATCTCTGCAAAGCTTTAGCATGTTCAAACTAAACTTGGTGTGTGTTATAACAACCATGGCCTGAGGGTACATGCACAGTTTCAGCGCAGCACCACCTAGTGGTCAGGATATATGAAAAATGGCTTTTTGCTTATAACTTCTAAATGGTTTGGCCAAAAATCACAATATCGGTCTCTTTAGATTTGGTGCAGAATACCGAGTCAAACAATAACCAATTTTGATTTTTGTCATAAACTGGCATATTTTACTAACACATTAACGTATTATCAGAAAACTCGGCATGTGACATTGGCTCCATGCTCTGGAGGTACTCAAAAAGTTTCAGGGCCGCGCCACCTAGCGGTGAAATTCACCTTATGGATTTCATATCCATAGTTGAAATGGATTTCATTTACAGTGTCAACAAATTTGTTGGCATGATGCCAAACTGCATCTGAAGCCGCATCTCTGCAAATCTTTGGCATATTCACACCCGACTTTGTGTGTGCCATTGTCACCTCACACTGAACACACCACATCAATTTGATAACAGTGCCACCTATTGTTCAAAAGTGATAAACCTTTAAATCATATTACTAGTGGTTGTATTTATGATTTTTCAGCCATTTTGACTTAAATCATCTTAAAATGTCTTTAATTACTCATCACTGCAGTTGGTCTGGTGCTCCCTGCCATGCTTAGCTCCTTGTTTTGCCTCTGTTGTGCTTGGCTCCGTAATTGCTGATTGCAGCTATATTTTATTTTGTTCTCATTATCCAAGTTGACAACAGTTGTTTTGCATTTGGTAGTTTGTGTAACAGACATAGTCTCTATGTTAAAGTAGCTAGATGATACAGTCACTATGTGTTGTAATTTATATAAACTACAAGCAGACGGTTAGTTAAGCCAGTCGGTCTGCTTCCTGACACAGGCCCTGGTTAGTCAAATACGAACTCTACAAAGAATATGACGTCTCTTTTTAGCAGGTTAGGTCTACCCTAAAACTCCAATTATCCAGATATCAATTATCTATGAATCCTATTCTATTCTGTGGACACCACTTAGACAACCAGCCATTCAGTGACGACAATCTACTATATTCACTGGCATGCAAAAATTTGGGCACCCTGATCCAAATTTCTGTCACTGTGCATAACTAAGCAATTGAAACATGACCTGACTTCCAAAAGGCATAAAGTTAAAGAAGACAAATTTCTAAATATTGTAAGCAAGATTTTTATTTCCATATTTTAGTTTAAAAAAAAAAAAAAAAAAAAAGGAAAAAGACCTGAAGCAAAAGTTTGGGCACCGTACATGGTCAGTACTAACTAACAGCTTATAAATGCTTTTCAAGTCTTTAAATTCTTATTTTAGGGATTTTCAGCCATTCTTCCCGTCTGAAAAAATCAGATTGAATACAATCCATTCCCCTCTCTACCAGTGAAATATTATTCTGCATCCTTTTATCTCAAAATAAATTTCTGCACCTTTTTATCTCAAAACATACCTTTGCTCATTTCAGCCAAGGTGTTGTGTTCACCTCTACAGAACTTGTTTCCAAAATGCTTGTTTAGATGTTTATTTGCAAACATTAGACACTGAATTTTGTGTTGAGGACACAGGAACATTTTTCGTATTGTGTCTCTTCCGTTAAGGCCAAACAGTGAAAGACGACTCCAGAGTCTGCTACATCTTCCTGAAGGTCTTTTGCAGTCAAACAAGGTTTTGATTTGCCTTTCTCGTAAAATCCTGAGCGATTCCCTCTGACAGTTGTCTAGATGTTCCAGACCAAAACCTCAACCTAACAAGCTAAATAAGGTTTAAAATCTTGGTAAAAGTTATCTGAGAAATCTAATCTCTTGGGGTGTCTAAGTTTTTCATAGTGGTTGGTTCCTTTTTTACTCTTAAATTGCACAAAACCAACATTTATGCCTTTTGGAGTTAATTTCCTAATCTACTCAACTATTCACAGTACAATCTTATATATATATAGTGGGTACGGAAAGTATTCAGACCCCCTTAAATTTTTCACTCTTGGGGTGCCCAAACTATTGCATGCCACTGTATCTCATAATCACTAAGATAAGCAGGAAGAGGACCAGACAAGATACTTTGATGCCGTAAGTCACAGTGACGTGGTGCTGTTGCTAGCTGGACAAACTTAAACCGACATAAGTTAAAACTTAACATTTTACAAACCCAGTTGTCTTGAAACATCCAAGTAAAATGAGTATTCATTGGCAAAACTTAAATTTGTATAGAAAACTTAATAATCAATGTCCTTATTGCCAGAAACATCACAGTAAAAAAGAATCTTATACTAACAGAAATATTACATGTCTAGTAGAAAGCAAGAAACAAGGATACTGAAATTTGATGCCAGAAATGTTGTTTAAATATAAGTGTAATAACAGAAATAAAAGGAGAGATTCTTTCTCCTCCCCTAGCAATAGTGTACCAAACAAAGCCATTCAAACATCCCTAAATGGTAAACACTTCTTCTATTTTTGAAGCACATAAAAGTACATTGTTACTGTTGTTAATACTCCTAACTCATAATACCTAACTCAAATATGCAGTGCAACTAGACAAAAACAATCTTTGTCTATATTATAGTGCCTTATGACTAAATAGTTGACCTTGTAAAATATCAATGTTGCCTCAATGTAACACTTGACAATTTTGACAACTTAAAAAAACAGAAATATTTCCAACAAAGGTTGACAGGTGACTAATCCAAACGTATCACCCAAGAATCTTGTCTTTAGTGCAACCGCAGGCTTAACACAATCTCAAAGAGCATTGACTGACATCAGCAGAAGGTTTTTAAGTAATTAAGTTTAAGTCTTAATTTCAGGGATTTGTGTCCAAGGCAGGGGCTCTGTCACGCTTGTTCTGTTGTCTGTTGTCAACCTAGCAGCTAGCTGTTGAGTGTACTTTGTTGTACACTCGATATTGTGGTACATTATAGGACTGAATAGGTATACTCAGTTTCCGCTATGGTTTCAGGCACCACTACAAATAGCTGTATCTGGAAAGATTCTGTAGGAAGATGTTCTTTTTGGCAAAGCAAGATTCCATAAATTATTAAATTAAGGGGAGCCAACGACTGTAGCGCACAAATATTACACACACACATTTTACTTTAAAGGTTAGATTTTTCAGAATACCTTTAATGAAAATTGAAAATAAAGCACAGCCAAGTCATTTTTAACACCGTGTTGCTCGTTTAAAGGGATAGTTCACCCAAAAATGAAAATTCAGTCATTAATTACTCATGTCGTTCCAAACCTTTAAGACCTTCATTCATCTTCAGAACACAAGATATTTTTTGATGAAATCTGAGAGCTTTCTGACCCTCCATAGACAGCAACGCAACTACCACGTTAAAGGCCCAGAAAGGTATCAAGGACATCATTAAAATAGTCCGTGACACCAGTGGTTCAACCGTAGTGTTATAAAGCTTGCAGAATTCATGGATCTGTGTGAATGGGGATTGTTTTGACAATGTTGTTGTCCGTTTTAAGTACATAGTTTTCGTGTAAACATACCCAAAGTCCTTGGAAATGGAAACAAACCAAACTAAAGCCTACAAATACATCTTACTACAAGTGTAAATAAAAAAAATATTGTTGCAGGAACCCAACTCTTGCTCATGTATTTTGTTATTAAAAGAAACTGTAATTGTTGTTAAGTTTAATAAAATGAATTTAATACAAAGAAAAATGCATAAGTCAGTATTATTTACAAAGCTTTTCATATACAATGGTAATGTGCACTGCTTCAAAGCTTTACAAAAAATACTGAAGAAATATCTACCATAGGTCACCATTGAGCAGTTCCATTTAGAGCGGTCTTAATATATTCGTTATCATACCCACAGTGAGCAAGCCAAAAGCAAGTTCTTCAAAAGGTGATTTCATAACCTAGTTTCTCCCAAGGTTATGTAAGGGGTTTCTTTCTACACTGAGGGCATATTTAAAGGTACAGAACGTAATATCGATAGCTAGCAGCTGAAATGGGTACTGCTGTCTAAATATAAAATATTGTTTCTCCCGACCCTCTCCCCCTCAAACCTGATGCTCACGCGGGTTGTCAGATTGAAGACACGAAACAAGAATGAACGCAATTGACAATGGAAGGCGACGAGCCTTACACTGTAAACTGATGAGTTGATTTATCCACGTTTTAATATGCTTGTGGTCTTAGAGGGTTTTAGTTTGATGCCAAGGCTTTTTTAGGACAGATAGAATCTGCGATCTCTGACCCAGTTCGTTTGCTGGCTTCTCTGGCTGCAATTCCCTGTGTTTTCTGCCAGCTGGCAACCCGGGGTGTGGAAATACTATTGGGTATACTGGCAGTGAACGGAGTCACACAGACCAAAACAAAAACAGGGATTCCAACACGAAACACACATTTCAAAGTAACTGGCTGTAGCACTGTTTTTCAGAGAAACAAGTATGTGAATTAGCATGTTTCCTAAATATCTGCGAACATATCATTAGGGCTGGGACAATAAATCGATGCACCGTGATTCGTGGATCGATTCTGAGATTTTCAGAATGCATTCTTTTTTAACAGCAGATGGCGCTCTAGGCTAGTTTTTAACCGCACACTCAAATGCTCACGAAGAAGAGCAGTTGTGCGTTCGGCTGAGTAATGTAAGTGTTTAAATGTACTTGCACATCGGCTTTTATGATGCGAGGTTAATGTAAACACAGCCCACTGTGAACATCCTTGTAATTCGCTTCAACCTTTACGAACTTTATGAATGATTATTTTAGGTTCAAGTGGTGCGTGTGTAAGAAACTGGAAGCAAGCAGAATTCGGCAATTTCTAAAGCACGCAGCGCCATCTGCTGTTAAAAACTAAGCTCAGAATCGATTCGAGAGAGAATCGCGATGCCTTCGGAAAATCTCAGAATCGATGCAGAATCATTTCTCGATGCATCGATTTATTGTCCCCGTCCTACATATTATGGTATTGTTATGCTTTAGTACCTACAGCGCCTTTAAGGACTCTCTTCAAAGTGAGTTTCTACGTGACTCTGAAGGATTGCTTGACGACTGAAACTCTTTTCACACAAAGGACACGTGTAAGGCTTCTCTCTAGAGCAAATTCTTATCGGACTCTCAACGTCTACATTATTTGTAAATTTCTCCTCACTTAGGTGGCATGTGAAAACTTCCTCCTCATTGTGAGTTCTCGTGTGCCACGTAAGGCTTCCTTTATGTGTGAAACGCTTTCCGCACTGTTGGCACGCGTAAGGCTTCTCTCCGGTGTGGATTCTCAGGTGATCATTAAGGTGTCCTCTATGAATGAAATTCTTTCCACATTGATGGCATGTGAATGGCCTGTCTACAATGTGAATTCTTACATGATCATTAAGGTGCGCTTTTTGAATGAAACTCCGTCCGCTTTGATGGCATGTGAACGGCTTCTCTCCGGTGTGAGTTCTCATGTGATCATTCAGGTGTCCTCTTTGATTGAAACACTTTCCACATTGATTGCATGAGTATGGATTGTCGTTAGAGTGAGTTTTCATGTGACACTTAAACGTTTTGTTACATGTGAATGTTTTTCCACACTGGAGGCAAGTTAAAGGGTTCTCTTCGGTGTGAATTCTTCTGTGAATCTGAAGTTTCCTTTTATACACGAAACTCTTCCCGCACTCATTGCAAGTGTAAAGTCCTTCAGTGTGAGTTCTCAAATGCCACTTCAGGCTTCCTTTATGTGTGAAGCTCTTTCCACACTGTTGGCACGCGTAAGGCTTCTCTCCGGTGTGAATCCTTAAGTGATCATTAAGGTGTCCTTTATGAAGGAAACTCTTTCCACATTGATGGCATGTGAACGGATTCTCGTCAGGATGCATTCTCGTGCGACGCTTAAGAGTTTCTTCAGTGTGAGTTCTCATGTGCCACGAGAGACTTGCTTGATGTGTGAAACACTTTCCACAGTGAATGCATGTAAAAGGCTTCTCTCCGGTGTGAATCCTTAAGTGATCGTTAAGATGTCCTCTATGAATAAACCTCTTTCCACACTGAGGACACACGAAGGGCTTCTCTCCGGTGTGAATCCTTAAGTGAACATGAAAGTATGCTTTATGACTGAAACTCTTTCCACAGTGAGGGCATGTGAATGGTTTTTCGCCGGTGTGAACTCTTAAGTGATCATTAAGGTGTCCTTTATGAAGGAAACTCTTTCCACACTGATGGCATGTGAACGGATTTTCGTCAGGATGCATTCTCATGTGACGCTTAAGAGTTTCTTCAGTGTGAGTTCTCATGTGCCACGAGAGACTTGCTTGATGTGTGAAACACTTTCCACAGTGAGTGCATGCGAAAGGCTTCTCTCCGGTGTGAATCCTCAAGTGATCGTTAAGATGTCCTCTATGAATAAACCTCTTTCCACACTGAGGACACACAAACGGCTTTTCTCCAGTGTGACTCCTCGTGTGAATATTAAGGTGTCCTTTATGATTGAAGCTCTTTTCACACTGATGGCACGGGAAAGGCCTCTCTCCAGAGTGAGTTTTTACGTGATTCTGATGAGTTAATTTGCTAGTGAAACTCATTCCACACTCATAACACGAGAAAAGCTTCTCTCCAGTGTGGGTTTTCATGTGACACTTGAGGTTTTCCTTATTTGTGAAACTTTTTCCACACTGAAGGCACGTAAAAGGCTTCTCTCCGGTGTGAATTCTTGCGTGAACAGTAAGGCGTCCTTTATGTTTGAAACTCTTTCCACACTGATGGCATGTGAAAGGTCTCTTTCTGGTATGACTTTTAATGTGATCTTTAAGGCGTCTTGTTTGTGAAAGATTTTCAGACTGATAATCAATTAAAGGTTTTTCTTCAGCTATCAAATTTTCAGGTGTCTGGAAATAGTGGTTGTCCTCAACTTCATTCAGTTCTTGCCTCTCCTCTTTCACTTCTATCAGGCCTACAATTAATGATAAATTGACAAAAATCAGAAAGGGGAAATTAAAAAATGTCAAAAAGTCAAGCCCAAATTAAAAATAGATAGCAAAACACATCAAGTAACTTTAGTTTTTTTTGTGTTTTTTAATGGGATGTTTAGTGTGCTAAAAGTTCATTCTGTCATGATCAACATCAATTCTTCTACACTTCAAATCCAATTTGTCCTAAACTAGGCTTGCCGCGATAAACGGTGCTGACGGTGATACCGTTGTTAAGCCGCAACACCAGTTACGTCACTTGCCCACCGCGGCACCGACCCCACCGTCATTTAGATTTTTTATAGTAATAAAAATAATTTAGTTCAGTAAAAGAACAGACACTACAATTAAAAACTGAACGCGGCTGCTCAATGCAGCGTGCCGAACGACAGTCGCATCACAGATCAGATTTCATTTCTCGGAGCTTTCATTTCATTTCTCGAGCTGACAGACAAGAAGAGTGAGGTGAGACAAACAAGAAGAGTGAGGCGAGACAGACAAGAAGAGTGAGGCGAGACTGACAAGAAGAGTGAGGCGAGACTGACAAGAAGAGTGAGGCGAGACTGACAAGAAGAGTGAGGCGTGAAAGTGAAAGTAAAATGCGCACGGCACTTTTACAAGCTATTTAGAAGCGAAGGAAAGCGAGGAAAAGAGGGAAAACCTCCGCGGTGATACCGGTATTACCGGTGTTGTCACACGTCGATTAACCGGTGGCAAAATTTCCTCACCGTCACAACCCTATCCTAAACATGAGACATGCTTTATATTAAGGGCTTTAAAATGACTGGTAAGATATAGTTAACACGTATAGTTTAAAGCGTCTCGCCCCGTCAGATGCTCTGACAAACAGCCTTGTGCAGTTTAATGTGTTTGGTGTGCTGTTTTCCTCAGTGCATAACTTAGATTTCACTGGTATATTCTCCATCTGTAAATGTTAGAAATATTGGGAAATATTTCTATTTTGCTGTCAGGAGTGCATGAGCCTTCTGCATGCGATTCTCCGCTAAACTTCACAGACTTCAGTGAACGAGCACAGACAGAGCGCAGTAATTGTGACTAAAATATACGTTTTCCTAAAATATTTGTACTTACACAATAAATGTGCCATATGTAGAAGTTTAAACCTACAAGTGTATTTTTATAATAGCACTGATCATAAAGTGACTGTACTGGGGTAATCAAAATAGCCTAATACAATTAGTCTGTGCTTTTGTTTTATTTTATTTTTTTAGTGAATAGAATTTTTGTTTAGTAAAATGGATTATTTTTGTTTTTAGACTGTAATCTTACAATGTTAGAATGCAATGTGATTTTAAACCTTTTTCTGCACATAATATATAGCATTGCCTACATGGTTACATTCACTTTGTTTATTTTACTGCCTTTAATATGAACATTGTGTCATTGGACAACATTGGGCAGGATATATATATATATATATATATATATATATACAGAAAGCATAGAAAATACATATATAATCGCAAAATACTGAGAATTTGTTTGTTTTTTTGCCATATCATCCAACCCTAATTTAAACAAATATACATTTTTTTTTTTCTAAGACACATTATGATAAGTAATAACCAAATTTAATGGAATTGTTTTGAATACCAACCTATGTGTTCCTCAGTTTCTTCATCTTTCACTCTGCAGGGCTCTGGATCGGTCGAGTCTTCAGGCTCGTCTTTAATAAACTCCATGGCATGAAGATTTCTCTTCTACTTTTCTCGAAGAGTTCTGTGTCACGTTTAAGATGACTGGAATAGTTTATAGAAAGAAATAGAGAGCAAAGCTAATCACGCGCTTCACACCGAAACAACACTCGCACATTTACGAGAGACCGGCTGTCAGCACACAAAGCATTCATTTCACATTAACAACCAACGCGAAATGATCTTAGTAATAGAACCATGTGGAATACATCTGTTTAAAACAACTTCAAACCGTACTGAACGCTTTACACACCTTAAACTCTGGAGGGCTCGAAACAAACCCTTCTCCTCTGCCGAATAACAGCAGAGGGAGGAGTCCCGGCGCCGGCGTCATGACGTCACAGCTGTTCCGCGGGGCAAAATAAAAGACTTCCGGCTAAAGTATCGATTCTAAACGAACTGCACTTTCTGTAAAGAAAATCTTAAAGGGGTCATGTGATGTTGCTAAAAAGAACATTATTTTGTGTATTTGGGGTAATGAAATGTGTTTATGCAGTTTAAGGTTAAAAAAAAAAAAAGGTTGCGTTGCATCGCATCGCGCCACGTAAACATAAAACCATGTCTGCATTTGTGATCGGAGAAATGACAAACTACAAACGCTACT